GGCGGAGGCGGCACATCAGGAGGCGCGCGGGGCGGCGCCGGTGGGTCGCGGCGGCCGGTGGCGATGTGCACCGGCGAGGTGGCGGGAAGCGGCGGGGCGCGGGCCCTCGCGCGGGCGAGCGGCGGCGGCGGCGCGGGCCGCGCAGGCCCAACTCGGGCCCCGCGGGCCGGCGGCGGCGGGAGGCGACAAATGCCACGTGGCGGCTCCGGATTTGCGCGAAGGGCGGCGGTTGGACGTGTCCGGCTGTCGGTGGACATGTCCGGCAGCGCGGAGGGAGGATTTTAGGGTTTGGGCTGCGAATTTGGACGAGGAGGGCTAATATATAGGTAGAGGGAGCTAGGAGACTCCAAATGAGGAGCGGTTTTCGCCCACACGATCGTGATCGAACAACCGAGCGCATGAAGGGGGTTTGGATGGGTTATTGGGCCACTTTGGAGGGGGGTTGGGCTGCACACAAAAGAGACCTTTGCGGGTCCCCGGTTAACCGTTGGAGTATCAAACGAACCCCAAATGACACGAAACTTGACAGACGGTCTACGGGTGGTGTACCAAGGCCGCTTGGCAAATCACGGTCCATTCCGAGAAAGTTTAACACCCGCTCGCAACAAGAGACAAAAGGGGAACGCCGGAGGACATAGGAGTGCCGGATTGCAAAACGGACAACGGGGAAAATGCTCGGATGCATGAAACGAACACGTATACAGATGCGATGCACATGACGACATGATATGAAATTCATATGATGACATGGCAAGGTGCAACACGCAAGCAAACGACATGGCAATGACGGCGAATAACTGGAAGACACCTGGCGCATCGAATCTGGGGCGTTACACTATTCCACTGGATGGTTTGCTCGCTGGAGGGTGAGGATTAAGTAGTCGTTGCCTGGGCTCGAGCCGCTGCCACCCACTCCGGTCTCATCACGCTCGGGTTGGCCACGCGTGCACGCTTGGGCCGTGCATCGTTGGTTGGGTCCGCTTTTGCTGGTGTGCTCTTAGGGTCAGTGACGCTGACAGAAACGGAAACGGGCGCAATCCCGCACAGCAACAATTCTGACCGCAGCCACAAGAAAGAGGGTGGTAAGCAAACATTGGTTCACGCCGTGGTTTTGGGTCTAGGATATGGTGAATGGAGCCCGGAACCACCCACCCGCACGCTGTTAGCATCAATCTCGACCAAAATTGTCCATTGTTGTACACTTGTACACGTGCATATTAGAGTTATTAGTATGATGACCGTGTGGCCTGTGTACGTGTTTGCATTCCACTTGTAAACGGGAGCTCTTTCTCTCTCCTACTGAAACATGCACTCTCAAGATGTATGCTTCACTGGAGAGGGGGGCTGGAATGGTTAGCCTAAGGCCCCGCTTGGATTGGGTGTAAAATTTTACACTTGTATTTATTTTACAGATGTAAATTACGGGTCACAGCTAATGTTACGCCTGGAAACAAAACGACCAGTCCATGCGTGTGTCCTAAACCAGCCGGATACGATTGGAAAACGGGAATCCAAGCGGGGCCTAAACAATGTTTAGTCTTCTGTGTTCATCAGGTGGGTTAAGTACTCTCAAGACGGTGCTGTGGTGTAGTCGGTTATCTGTTAACCTTACATACACATTATAAAGGTCCCCAGTTCGAGCCTGGGCAGTACCAAAATGTTCTCATAATTTTGTTGTCACACTTCAGCAACTTCCGTATAAAGTAGTTCAACTCTATTTTGTGAGCTTCTCTGAAAATCTAGTTGGATAAACACATGCACTAGAAACTACTCCCTCTGTTCCTAAATGTAAGTCTTTTTAAATATTCCAATATTAGTGTCAAAAAAACATCTTATATTATGAAACAGAGGGGGTACATACGGAGCAAAATGAGTAGATCTACATTTTAAAATACGTCTATATATGTAGTCCACATTAAAATCTCCAAATGGGAACTTATATTTAGAAACGGATGGTGTAGTACGAAATATGTTGTTTTTGTCTCTATAATTCTGACAGTACGCTCGTGCTCCTTATTTCACGCACAAGGAAATCTAGCCAAGTACTACGCACAAGGATTACCAACAGCATACATGTATGCTGAGATAAATATTTTAGTGGAGATCACCTACCGTAGTTATGTAGGATAATAATTATAAGATTCCGCTAAAAATCAGGATTCACAGGGCAAAGGAAGCATTCTTTAATAGGAAAATCAATCATGTTACTTCAACACCAACCAATGCAACGTAGTAGCAACAACTGCTGGAGATATAAGCATCTAATAGGAGAAAAACATCTTACCACCATTTCAGGATTTTACACTAGTCTAGTTGGCAGACAACCACCACGAGGAACAAACAACTGGGACCTATTATTCCATGTAAACTGGATACAAGACCTATGATAAATGCAGAAAGTCAAGCACAGCACAGATGATAATAATCTACGTCTGTTGTAATCCGAAAAGCCAAGGCAAACATAACAGCTACTACTCATCATCATCCACGCGAAGATCACGGCCACTTATCATTCAAGGGCACAGGGACGATCCTCTGTTTGTCCGGGTGATGGTAGTATACATGCATTCTGCGGCCTAAAACGCAAGCTCGTAGCTTTCTTAGGACTGGTCAGCCAAGCCGCTTCCACCGTTGTTATCGGCACCAGTGCTCCTATGGCTCTCAGTGCCAGAAGGCTCGGAACTGGCCCCACCTGCTGCATAGGCTGGTTCAACTTGAGGGGCCCGGGCCATGCCATTCACAGCCCCAGGTCTCGCAACCATTTGACCAGCAAACGGAAGCATCTGAGCCTGTTGTTGCTGTAGTTGCTGCTCCTGCATCTGCTGAGGCGTTAGAGGGGTCCTTGGAGGGAACATTGGCACCTGTGACATGTAATGCCCTACCCCTGGGGATGCACTAGGTGGTGCCATCTGTATGCACAAGTAACATTAGTGCATACAGCAGAAACAATATAGGTATACTGTATGTTGGTCTAAGACATGACTAACCTGAGGACGGCTTACAGAGGTCTGTGGCTGAGTATCAGCAATTGCAGCCAAATACAAAAGATTCTTCTGAAGCTGAGCTTGATACCTGAAAGTTATATGGGAGATGAGTTGCCTATGTGTTTCTCCATATCCGCTTCAGAAGGAACCGCACATTCACACAAGCAAATATTGTTATGTATAAGGAAACTTGTTGAATGCAACTATCTATTACAGGTATAGAACACAAGAACAATTCAATGCAATGCAAAGTAGATTAAGAAATACAAAAATATCACAAATTATGTCCCCGCTAACAAGAGAAAAAGACTAATAACAGAGAACTTAAACTTCCAATAATCGTAAAAGCAAAAACAAACGTAGTTAGCAACATTGGATTAGTGACACACGAGCAGATACGCTGACATAAATGATGCACGAGCAAAGGCATCCGGGCGACCAGCACAATGGAACTGTTGATCTGGTACACAAATAAAAGATTGTTCAACAATGCTAAGCGTAAAAGACAGCCATATTACAGCGTGAAGCTATGAGGCACTGATACGGCCAGAGTTGCCATGTCCGCATGCCAGGCAGCTCTGATACGGTGATACGCATGATCAGGCCGGGATGCGCGTATCCAGGAGTATCAGGATTTTTTACTTTTTAAAAAAAAAGAGAGAAAAGAGCCTATATGGTAGGACGCTCGTGACACCACAGCGATGCGAGAGCACAGCCCCGAGCGAGCCCAATAGAAGCCCAAGAAGTCACAAACTACCCTAACTTTGCTCTCTCGCTCTCTGTTCGATCGCACAAGGAAGCACTGGATTGAGAGCAGGAGCGCGCCGCCACCACCGCCTGGAATCGCCTCGCCGCCCTGTCGACTCGCCACACCGCCGCCTCGAGTGACTGGACTCGAGCCTTCTCCACCACCGTCACAAGAGAGAGGTAAGTTATTCCGTCGCGTGCATGCTTGCTGTGTGCTTGGCTGCTTGCTATTGCTAGCTGATGTTGCTGCTTTGCTGCCACTGCCTACTGCTAGGGAGGGAAATATGACATGGCATCTGCTGGGAGTGGCATGGCAGCTAGCCAGTCTTCACTTGGTGGTACTGCGAGCAACAGTACTGAAGTTGAAGGCGCAGGTGAAGAGGCTGGGCATGGTGTCGGCAATCCGAAATATCACATGATGTACTCCCTCTGTAAACTAATATAGGACGTTTTAGAGACTTGACACAAGTCTCTAAAACGTCCTATATTAGTTTACAGAGGGAGTATTTTCTATTTTGCATACACCATGAGGACATTGATGATGTTTCAGGACTTGAAAAGAAGCATGGAGGCACCCAATGGGGCAGTATTCCCATCGCATCTCACGCATCCTATTATGTTGTCTTTATTACTCCCTCCTTTCCTAAATATAAGTTTTTTTAGAGATTTCAAATGTCATTTTATGAATTATTCGTATATACTCGCCGTATTGCCGTATTTCTGTTTCTGGAAATTAACATGTCCCGTGTCCCCGTACTCGTATCGCCGTATCAGTGCTTCGTAGACGTGAAGTCCAAGAGAGTAAAGCTTAGTTAGCAACAATGTGTTGTAGATCAAAAGAATGCATGTTTTGACAGTTTTGAGTGTTTGTTACAGCATGACAAGTATGTGGGCCATTTCACTGACATGGCTGCAAGTCTTTTATGTGACACTTCCGGGGGAGAAGGGACGCTACAGGTGCTAGGAGGTTGGCGACACGGTCTAGATCCTCAACATTATGACCGCCCTGCGCAAGGACAACATAAGCAAATCGTCTCTACCTCCACGCTCTCGCGGGCACCCTACCCGTCTGTGCATTGCGCCACTACCACCATGGCCTTGCTGTTCTCCTGCCTACTAGAAGAAACCACCTAAAATAAGTTTGTCAAAGCGCAGACAAGCACCTGCGCAAGAACCACGACAGGGTGCTCTAACGACAATAGTCATGGATTGACTCGATGCCGCTTGTAAGTGCCCCCACAGTCAGAGCAACCCAGCGCTTCCACAAATAGTGCATCTCGTGCCAGAGTTCGCTTCTGAAAATGAACAGACAACTACCTTCATGTTCAAATATACAACTAGTGGCAGGGTTAACTTCTGATATCCTGCTATTTCTCTTTTGCCAACTATACAGGGACTATGGAAGAGTTTTAACCAAATCTTATGGTATCTTTCAGTTTAGATATTTGACACTTGTCTAGCATTCCTTTTCGGACACAAGTATTTGTGTAGTCATGCACACATATGCGTATTACACTTATATGTTTTTACAAAGCAGATGTTTCTCATAATCCTTTATACGAATTTTGAACCTTTTGTAGCTACAGTTATTCACAAAAAGCTGAGGTACGTAAAGAAGACAAATGTCAGTTAACATGAAAAACAAAGATATACGGAGCAGAGGTTAAGATACATTTTATGGCTCTTGGAAGTTGGAAGTAATGATAACCATTCATTAGTGATTTTTTTTCTCCAACAGATGTGGTGTCGTAACTTGAAATTTATTCAGACTAGCTAATTGACTGTGCCTTGCTACAGGGGCATACACATTCTAATGGTTTAACATCAATCATGTCTAATATATACCTTTAGAATACTCATGTACATTAGGTGGTATTGTTGATTCGATTTACCGTTAAATAACTCCTCCACCAACCTCTCTCTCTCTTTCTCTAAAAAAGCAAAGACTTGATTAACCTTGAAGAAATAAACCCAGAGTGTAGAGGGAATAGGGAGGAGGACGGACATGCATGTGTGGGTTGTAGCGGACCGGTTTCCCCCTGGTTTTCTTGGTGTGCTAAGCATGGAATGGAGGCGGAATGGGAACGTTATGTCTTTTTTAGGTAGTGTAGAGTAGATAGATGTAGATAGATTGATTGATTTGTCGTGTATGGTAGTGAATCAGCTGGAGACAATTTTTTATTGATGATTGATTTGTTTATTATGGCACTTGAATCAGCGCTTACCAAACTGGGTGGGGTTGCGGTCGGTAAAAGGAAATAGAGAATCGTGGGAAGATCCGTTGATCGGTGGGGCCCTGAGGGGACGAACAACGTAGGAAGTAGAAACTCCTCTTTAATAGTACGGATAAACTTGAAGGACAATTTGATTTGTTATCACGATGTAGCAAGTGTCTGACCAGTTCCAAAATATTAAAGTTTACATGATTCAACATAAATTATAGTATAATATCTACCGCTATTAACCATTGCAAGCAGTAGTTTCCAAGTGTAGGAAATATTAATTTTTTTTGCTTCAAATGCAAAACAGTAAACATAATATATATAGTAAGGCAGCTAAACCTTTGGCGGGAAAAACATATAGTAATACTAAGTTCACGAACATCACATACTTGTAATAAACTATGATGAATATTTAAGAAAACTGCGGCCATCCACAAGATGCACATGTTTTGATTGAATGCACTACAACGTATCAAATCCACAAATTTATGTCCCTCCACTGCGTGCACTTATGTCTTCAAACCGAGGAAGGGAGAAGACACAGAACTTATGGTACCAACATCATGAGGCATTGGGTTGCAAACACAATGTAGACCCCCTAGAGGCACAGCACAAAGGTTGATGGTGATATCTTCTCTATCGATCAAAACATTAAGACACATAAAGAACCAAGTTGGTGCTTGGATGGTAACTGAAGATGGTTGGACGACCCTTTAACCACTAGGGTTTGGCTTCCTGTGTGTGTCACCTACAGGAATATTTGTTCAGTGGTAGGGGACACACCCGTCAATATTCAATCTCTGTGTGTCCAGTAGCTATTGTGTGAATACAAGCTAGTGGTGGTGTTCATATTACCATGCTGTACTGGGTGCTTTTAACACAGGGCGCCAAGACACACCACTTTATTAGTATTAAAAGATAATCATACAATGATCCGTTCAACCTTTTTCACTGGTACTCTAGAGTCTAGACAGTTGACCTGTGGTTCAATATTAATGTTTGGAACAATATACTTCCTTGTATGACACCCAAAAAAACTTGTTAGGTTCAGTGGCCACCTCAGCCAAATTTGAGACACCAAGCCAAACATACAGTTTACAAAACTCAAGTATGTGCTTTTGCGTTCACAAAACAATAGCACTCCATCATCAAAGAAGTAGTGTTTCTTGACTAACCATATCCACATCAATCATATCACATGTGGTAATGGCTAAGGGTGTTAAAGCAGAAGTACCAATTCAATTCACTGGCAGCTCAGCTGCTCAAGCAGACATTTTCTTTGCAAGCATAATATTTTGGCTGTCTTTGCAAGCATATTATTTTGGCAGTTTTTTGTCTGCTCCATTTACTTATTTTAACTGAACAGACCAGCAGCCAGTTCCAATATTTACTGTTGGCCTGTTGGGCGTCCGCTGGTCTGGTTTTAGAACAATGGTACTAGCTAACGATAAATGTAAACAGATAAGTAAGAACAGCTGAAGATGGCAGCAGAAACACAATAATTATATTCTGCGCATACAAAGCAAGAATGCAACGGAAAGCAGAATGGCTCAACAGTTAGCGAAATTAAAGGCCATATTGAATTGTATGATCTGCAGAAAAAGAGGTTCAGTCCGTTACATACTGAGCACATTCCGCCAACTTTCCCAGGTTCTGATTTTCCAAGATAGCCAAAATTAGTTGCTTATTTTCATCCAGGTACTGCACAATGGATAATGCCAATTAGGGGGAATGAATAATTATAACAGGTCGTGTATAGAGTTAGTAAATTCAAATAGAAAGCCAGGTGAACAACAAAATACAAATAAACAAAAATAACACAGTGCAGCTTGACGATCTGCACGAAAACACAAGGATTAAAGATCGGGACTGAAGATTTTGTTCAATCATCCCAATGCCCAAATTACAAAGCTAGAAAGAAGAAAGGACCACAAAGCATTAGTATAAATCTAAAGAACTAGAGATCATTTGGAGGTTGGGAGTCAAAAGTATAGAACTATATTCTTGGAGTGAAAATGTTTGGTCCGTTTGTTGCACAGCATAAGCATGAGCACCCTTGATAACTTGGAAAACAGTTCAAAAGGAATAAATCCAGGGTTGCTCTCGACATTTTTCTGGAGTAAAGCAACTTGGTCGAACAATGTAGGTTTTCGTTAGTAGAACAAAGCCAACCATACTCCATTTCCATTAAGCAGTACATGCATCAACATTCACCAGCAAGAAGCAAAAATAAATAAAACTTGTTTGAATCTAGCAAGACAATAAAGGATGCGTCACAGTAATTAGTCGCTAGTAACTGCAAAACAAAAGCAACATTTGAAGATTGGCAGCTGGATTGGAAATAAGGCTATAGAAGGATGGAGATAATACTATATTAATGGACGACGATAACTGCCACACGTGTGGGCGTTAAAGGGCCTGGCCACACGTTTTGTGTGGTGTCTAAGACGACCAGCCCACACGCCTATGTGTGGGCAAAATAACTAACGCCCACACGCCTCTTCTTTTCCTTGCGGTCCCTCTCACACGCCTACGTGTGGGCAAAATGGATAACTGCCACACGACCTCTCTCAGCCACCTACCTCACGGTCCCGCACGCCCCGCGTGACAGTCAGCACGTGTCCCCACAGTTGCATGGTCCGGACCCTCTTTAATGTTCGTTTAACTGCAGTGCCATGTCGTTGAACTACAGTTGCCATGTCGGACAACTACAGTTGCCATGGTTGCTCAACTGCAGTTGCCATCTCAGGTCAAGTGCGAGATGCCATTTTGGACAACTGCAGCTGTTACCATGTATGGTCTGGTTAACTATAGCTGCCATGATTTGAAAACTTTAGAGATTGCCACCTACTAACACTAAGCAGTTGCCATGTATGGTCTGGTTTACAACGGTTGCCATGATTTTGAAAACCTTAGGCAGTTGTCGTGTAGCGCTATAAAAAGACATGACAAAACAATATGTTCGGATAAAGAGAGAGTTGTCATCTGCTTACGAGCACACTAGGGCAGTTGCCGTGTACCCTGCAAAACACATGGCAACTGACATATTTGGGTTAAAAAAAAAGAGAGAGTTGCCATCTGCATACAAGCACACTAGGGCAGTTGCCATGTACACTGCAAAACACATGGCAACTGGCAGCTTGGGTGTGGGAGAGGAGACGGGCGTGTCGGCGAGATGGCAAATGCCCACACACCAGCCCTTGTGCGATAGTGAAAACTGGCGTGTGAGCGAACTGCTAAACGCCCACACAACGGCCCCTCCGTGTTGTGAAACGAACGTGTGGGCGACCGGGTGAATGCCCACACACCAGCCCAGTCCTACGTGGCACCACAAACATGCCAAGATTCGTGCACCCACAAACGGACGCGGATCCACGCGTGTGGGCGAAATGCAAACGCCCACACCCGTGGGCGTTAGTGTTTCCGTTATTAATTTATTGAAGGAGAATACTGATATCAACGAACTCAGAAAAAAGCTATTCAAATCACATCAATATCGGTGAATTAAACGCCATCTCTATTAATCCACCAGACGAAACCACAACTTGTAGGGGCGACAAACGATCGAATATTTGGCCGGAAACCAACCCTTCAAGCCCAGCAAGGAGGCACGCCAGCCATATGGAGAGCCGACAGAGATGGGGAGGGGGAGGGAGGGAACCTTTTGGATCTGCTCGGTGCTGAGGCCAGCAGATGGAGGCATCCCCGGCGCCGCCGCCGCCGGCGGCATGGGCATCGCTTGCTGCATCGCGGCGGCTCTCGCTTCCTCTTTGTTGGGGTGTGTTGGGGGGTTTGGAGGGTTTGCGGGTGTAGGAAGAAACACAAAGCGCCCACCTGATGCCGACCTGCCCCAGAAGACTTTCAGATGCTCCTGTAATTTGGAAATAATTACATATATGCCCCTTGACATTTTGTTACGGTTACGGGTTACCTGCACCTATTTTGGGCACTTTGTATGTGTAGCCCGACTAAGCCTGGATGAGTTTTGCACATTATTTGTTTGTCTACATCGTTCTCATTGTGGCTGAGCAGCAACATAGGCACCGGTGTTTGGTTGTCAGCATGTTTTATCCAGATGCAAAGAGATGTTGTTTGGTTATATGCAACACAAGTGATGTGGTAATTTCTTCTAGGAATGATGAGGTTATACACACATCATCAACATATATAGCATAACATAGCCATCCATAGGATTAACCATAACAACCATAACCATAATCATCATACCCGTTCAAACATGCTAACATCACAACAGTACCATATAGTCTTCAAACTGAATTAACATAGCAGAGGTAGCAACAATCCCATCCTAAGCACCGTCAGCATCCATGTCAAATGCTTTGTGATGCAGACCGCACTTTGCCACCACCTCAATGCCGTCGTCATTGAAGACGATGACCTTCAAGTTCGCGGAACTCACTGGCTTGAAGGTGAGGAGGCACCTGATGTTGACATAGTGAGCTACCACTACTGCAGGATGGTCCTAACGCGACACTCGGAGACCCTTTGACCAAACTATGTGTGTTGCATGAATCGGAAACGGTATTGTAATAAAACTGTCACCAATAAGATGAATTGTGTGTGATGGCGGATCCATCAAATACGATTCAGATTAGCGTTGCGTGTGGGAATCGTGGCATACAGTTGATCCATACGAACTGTTCGCGATGAGTCAAAAGAATAGAAACGGTCAGTCGGATCAAGGTATGTGCGATAGACATCATATAGTTCACTCGGATGAACTGTTTGCGATGAGCCAAAACAACAAAAATGATTTAGCTTAACAAGATGTGTGATACCCGACAAACATGTCAGTAATCAGAATTGTGTGGGAAGACCGATAATAACACAGACGATTCCTGGTGATAAGCCGTGTGTGTTGTGGGCAAATGCTTGCTGGTATGCAATTATCAGCAATGGATGAAATCATCACCGGCGGATTCCGTAATTTTGTCCCTGTGCAATGTGATTCGCTCAGTTGGGCACACGCTTCGTGTTAGCTCATGCTTCCTTCTTTGCTAAGCTTTCCATCAATTGATGGTGTTTTGTGAACACACCATTGTTTCCCGCCACTTCCCTATCAGATTCCCACCACCAGCGATTGCGCATAAGCCTACGCGGCATGCGGCACACTGAGGCACAAGTGCAGCATATAGCCCCTCTACCTTTCCAAGCATGCCAATCCATCGAAGCGCTCTGCCATCAACCTCCTCGATGAGGAAAATGAGCCGGCCAGTGCAGGCGCCATGGCCAATCGAGGCCGAGGGCATCCCCGGCAAGGCGATGGACGATGTCGTGTTGTGCCTCATCGCCAGGGTTGAGCATACCTTGACGCACGGTGCGGAAACATCGATCAAGATGGGCACGTCAACCCCGAGAGGCTGCAGCTCGCCGCACAACATGATCGGTGGTACACCACAGTGCAAGATAGGCATGTCTGCACCAATAGGTTGTGGCGTGCCGCATAGCAAAATCGATGGAGCGCCGCAAAGCAAGAAGCGCGGCGCTCTGCACAACAAGAGCAGATTCCTCGGGGATTGTCTGTTTTCGACAGGGCGTTGCAGCTGGGTACACAGCCCACGGTAGCCCAATTCCTTGGGCAGAGGTCGTCTGCATCGTACTTGCACCAAAGGTCGGTCGCGCAGTACTTGCACTGGATTTCGGCCGCGCCATTCGCCTTTGAAAGTGCAACAAATCCCCGGGTGGTTTTGGTAATTCATAACAACATATAGCTCATTGAACTAATATCCTTTCAAGATAAATATTTCAGGATGTTCAATGATTGGCATGCATTAACTAGAGATGTGGACCCCTCAAAATGCTAAGGACAAAGATTGGCAAAAGCTCAAGACTCTTCATTTCTATTTTAGTGATCCAAGATCACATTGAGTCCATAGGAAAGCCAATACTATTAAAAGGGGATGAGGTGTTGCTTGATGGTTTACTTGCTCAAGTGCTTAGTGACATTGCTCCAAAACCCTCAACCACTTTCTCCATCCAAATATGTCCAAACTCAGATTCCAAACTCGGCACCACCGATACTTTCTATCCGGAGACTCCGAGTTCATATGACATAGCCACTTCTAGAAACCCTAACAGTTTGGTCACACCGATACGGATCTCGGTCCCACCGAGATGGCCTTGCCAGCGCTTTGTGATCTGTTGCATTCGCTTCGGTCCCACCGAGTTTATGCAATCGGTCTCACCGAGTTGGCTTGACAGATTCTCAGTTGCTTATTGCTTCACTTCGGTCCCACCGAGTTGATGCAACCGGTGCCACCGAGATGATGTGTGCCCCTAGCACATCGGTCCCATCAAGTTGTTCCAGTCGGTCCCACCGAGATTCCTAAGGTTCACATTTTTGAACTGATCGGTGCCACCCAGTTTAACTAATCGGTGCCATCGAGATGAGCCAAATGTGTGTAACGGTTGGATTTTGTGTGAAGGCTATATATACCCCTCCACCCCCTTCTCCATTTGTGAGAGAGCCATCAGAACGTGCCTACACTTCCACCATACATTTTCTGAGAGAGAACCACCTACTCATGTGTTGATATCAAGAGATTCCATTCCTACCATTTGAATCTTGATTTCTAGCCTTCCCCAAGTTGCTTTCCACTCAAATCCCTCTTCCACCATATCCAAATCTGAGAAAGATAGTTGAGTGTTGGGGAGACTATCATTCGAAGCACAAGAGCAAGGAGTTCATCATCAACACACTGTATATTACATTTTGGAGAGTGGTGCCTCCTAGATTGGTTAGGTGTCGCTTGGGAGCATCCGTCGTGATGTGGAGTTGAACCAAGAACTTTGTAAGGGCAAAGAGATCACCTACTTCATGAAGATCTACCCGAGTGAGGCAATTCCTTCGTGGACGATGGCCATGGTGGGATAGACATGGTTGCTTCTTCATGGACCCTTCGTGGGTGGAGCCCTCCGTGGACTTGCCAACCGTTACCCTTCGTGGGTTGAAGTCTCCATCAATGTGGACGTACGATAGACCACCTATCAGAACCACGCCAAAAATCTCCGTGTCTCCTTTGTGTTTGCCTTCTCCAAACCCTTCCCTTTACCTTCATATGCAATTTTTTACTCTCTGTTGTTATACTCTTAGAATTGCATGTATAGGTTGATTACTAGACTTGTGCTAATTGCTTAAATCTTCCCACAACTAAAATTGGGAAAATGATAGATTTTTATTTGGTCAAGTAGTCTAATCACCCTCCCCTCTAGACATACTTTCGATGCTACAAGTGGTATCAGAGCTTTGGTCTCCATTAGCCTTGATTTCCATAGCTTTGGTGATCATAGCCTTGGTTTCACAACCTAGGAGAGTATGGTGTCTAGCGAGGGAAATTACCACTGTAGAGGTCCTTACATTGATGGTAGAAATTCTGCTAGTTGGAAGCATAAGATGAAAATGCATGTTCTTGGTCATAACCTCGTCGTTTGGGTTGTTGTGCGTATTGTCTTGCAAGGTGATTTCTTTGAAGATGGTAAAGAACCCGATCGTGAAGCAACCTCAAAAGAAATGAAGATCTTGCAATACAATGCTCAAGCTTGCGATATTCTCTTTAACGGATTGTGCCGTGAAGAATTCAACAAAATCATCCGCCTTGAGAATGCAAAGGAAATTTGGTATACTTTGGTTGATATGCACTAAGGTACCGAGTCTGTCAAGGAATCCAAGCTGGATGTGCTTCAAAGTCAACTTCATAAGTTCAAGATGAAGGATGGTGAAGGAGTCACCGAAATGTACTCTAGGCTTGCTCTCATCACAAATGAGATTGTCAGTTTAGGAAGTGAAGAGATGACCGACAAATTCATCATCAAAAGATCCTTAGAGCCTTGGATGGAAAATATGATACCATGTGCACATTGATCCAAATGATGACCAATTACAAAGATCTCAAGCCCACAGAAGTCATTGGTAGAATTGTTGCTCATGAGATGTCACTCAAGGATGAGGAAGAGCTCCACAACAAGTCAAGGGGTGCTTACAAAGCTTCAAGTGATGCCCCTACAACATCAAGTGACAAGCAAGTCTCAAATGAAGAATAGAGCTTAATGGTGAAGAACTTCAACAAATTCTACAAGAACAGAAGCAAAGAGAGAAGTGATACGTCTCCAACGTATCTATAATTTATGAAGCATTCATGCTATTATATTATCTGTTTTGGATGTTTATGGGCTTTACTAAGCACTTTTATATTTTTTTTGGGACTAACCTATTAACCGTAGGCCCAGCCCATATTGTTGTTTTCTTGCCTATTTCAGTGTTTTGAAGAAAAGGAATATCAAACGGAGTCCAAACGGAATGAAACCTTAGGGAAAGTTATTTTTGGAATGGAATCAATCCAGGGGACTTGGAGTGCACGTAAGGGAAGCTTCGAGGTGGCCACGAGGCAGGGAGACGTGCCCACCTCCCCTGGGCGTGCCCCCCACCCTCGTGGGCCCCTCGTTGCTCCCCTGACCGACTTCTTTCGCCTATATATCTCCATATACCCTAAAAAGATCGAGGAGAACAATAGATCGGGAGTTTTGCCGCCGCAAGCCTCTGTAGCCACCAAAAACCAATCGGGACCCTGTTCTGGCACCCTGACGGAGGGGGGATCCCCTCACCGGTGGCCATCTTCATCATCTCGGCGCTCTCCATGACGAGGGGGGAGTAGTTCACCCTTGGGTTTGAGGGTATGTACCAGTAGCTATGTGTTTGATGTCTCTCTCTCTCTCGTGTTCTTGAGGTGA